CAAAAGCGAAAGAAATACAGGCTCTAGAACAAAGGCAAAAAAGTATTGAAACAGTACAAGTGTTCAAGACATGAGTGAAATCATGGATTAAGTGCGTCCAGACAAATAGTTCAGCAAAATCAAAGGTTTAAAACAGAGCAATAATGGCAGCAAGTAAACAAAAGCACATAGAAGAAATTTGGAATAAAATGAGCAGAGGCTTACCAGAACAAATGAAGCCGGAATAAAAGGTCGCCGAGGTAAGGCAACGGTTGCAGACACAACGAAACAGCGAAAGCTTCAAAGGAAGAACGAAGACGGTTGCAGAGCTTAGAGCTAGAGCAATGGCGGATTTGAGAAGGTTTAAGAGAGAGTGAAAGCCAGAAAATCGAAAACAAAAGTAAAGAGACAAAAAGAAAGGGGGAAAAGTTTTGTCAAAAACTTGAAACGGCGGCAAAAGAAGGGCATTTATTACGCCTGGAACAACGTACACGTCAGACGGTGCAGATAGGTGAAATACAGCTTTCAGGCGCGTCACAGACACGGGCCAATAAAGATAAACCACGTAAGAGGAACGGTTGAGAAAATGTGCATGACAGCTCATGCGCGTAGAGGAGTTCGTTTGAAGTTCTTGTTCTTTGATGAAGGCATGTCAGCCTAAAATGAATGATCTCAGCCAAAAGGTTCTTACGCCGAAGTACTAGAAGAAAATACAGATATAGGTTCCATCACCTCAGAATGCCGAAATAATAGAACCTAGAGGCAGTTGTGGGGATATATTTTCTGATACCAACACGTGGCCAAGGTGACGCCGACGTGTCAGCCGAGGTGCCACGTGTCCTGGTTGTTATGCCGATGTCATCTCGGATAGGCCGAGGTTACCTCCGAAGATATCGGAATCCGAGATAAGCAGATAAGGGACAAGAGTCCTAGAATGGGAGAAGACTTCAGTTTGGGTAAAGATGAGACTCTTAGAGAGTTTATCCTAATTCAACTGGGAGTCCAATATTAACAGTAATCCTAAATCCATTAGAGTTAGGCTTCTATTGGAACTAGGATTATGTTGGCTATAAAAGAGAGGCACCCTCATGGGTCTAAGTATGTCTTTGATGCTTTTGATACTCAAGCTTGTGAGTTTAGCACTTGATTTATCTTTGAGAGATATACTGACTTAATTATCGGAGTGCCTCCGGATGGACGAACCACCGTCAGAATTTTCACTTTCTGTTGCAAGTCAGCTAGGTGCCATCTATTCTGCCGGTGCTCTCCAGTTGGTTACTAAGCGGGCAGTGTGGTAAAAAAATCACTCACACAATTATTATAAATAAATTATAAAATTACTTGTAAGAGAGTGTTTAAGATAATCTAAATAAGTATATTTTTTAATTTTTTATAAAAAAAAATGTGTAAAAAAATAAAAAATAAAAAATAATGTGATCTAAAAAAATTTAATAAATAGAAAAAAGAAAGTATATTTTTATAAAAGATATCAAATAGTGCCTAAGAATCAGTCTTATTTTCTTGTTAATGTCACGCAATAATTTAAGTTTGGTAATAAATTTTCATTAATTAGGGACAGTGTGGACCATTGTTCACCTAAGATTTTTTTCCAAACAAGGCCTTAAAAAAAAAGAAAAATGTTTGGGAGCATTAATTAGTGCTCTCACTAATTAGGTGACAGTGGGTTTCGTCATTAATGATGTGATGTTTTGGTCTTGGAGTTGTATTTTTTTTTTTTTTTTTTTATTTTTTGCTTTTGTTGCGTGAATGAGTGTGGGTGGGTTATGAATGTTGGGAGTTGGATGTTCAATTGTAGTTGTTTCATGAGCCACTTGAAACCTTATTGAGACTCCATCAACTTTATTAACCAGGATAACCTTTGGGAGCTAAGTGATGATATTGATGGTTTGCTGAGTGGTTGATAAACTGTAAAAATGATAATGTAATAATATCTATCATGTTTTGTTTGTCTAATATAAGTAGTAAGATATTGAAGATTGGCTCAAATTTCTTTGTCAACGATGGCTGCTGATTGAAGAAAAAATGAAGAAGCTAGACATGGTAGGGTGGCTAATCTTATTGGCGGTTGATGGTTGATGGTTGCCATTAATGTTGTCGGTGGCTTGTTAAAGACTTTGGCCCTCCCATTTCATCTATAAATGGTTAGTGAATGGGAGGGGTTCAGTGTGGCGAGTTAAAGAGAGAAACAGAGCAGAAAGAGAGAATTATAGTGTGTAATTCTTTGTCCCAAATATAGTGAAATCTGCTGCTCGTGGACGTAGGCGACTTGCCGAACCACGTAATTCTTTGTGTGTTCTTGCTTGTGTGCTTGTGTGTGATTGTTTTCTTCCTTCTAGGCACAACATAAGATTCATTAAATCAATGTAATTTTAACACATGAGAATGTAAACACAATTTAATAAATAAATATGATCATTTTAATACTATTGTTAGTCTATTATTGGATTGTCAACTTCTTGCCTCTATGTTACTGAATAAACCTCAAAGTAAAGGGTTGCTTTGTGTATTTTTTTTTTTTTTAGATATTGAATACATTTGAAAAGTTCACTAACCACATAAGAAGATCTGCTTGTTGTAGGCCATTGTTCTTATGGAATGTAAGCATATTTTTACTTACAACTTTGTGTAACAAGATTACTGATTCCTAACAAGATTACTTACAATTTTGTCTGTCAACCTTGTGTAAATGCTACAAATTCTAGTTTTTTTTTAATTCTTTTATGTCACTCAATAGTAAATAAATTCATAACATGAACATAAAAATTTAAAGCTTTTAATTGGCATGGTTGTAAATGATTGTTCATTCAGTTACTTCACTATAATATTTTTAGGAATATTTACCAATAAATCCCATCTCACAAACTGTTAAACCAATCAGTCCCAACTTTATTCTTTTGTTCCGGTAAGTCCTACTAGTGGGGAGGTTTGTTTCTTTCTGATCCTATTTTCTATATTTGGCGTCATTGTGTGGACGGTTGTACCCTTTTTTGTTATGTTTCGATCTTGTGTTGCAGGATCACGTCATTCTGTGGATTTTGTGGGTGTTACAGTTTGTAATTTTAATGTTATGTGTATAAACGTTTCAGCCTTTTGGACTTAGGCACTACAAGAATTTACACATTTTGCGACCACTTTTGCCGACCAAAAAAATTTTGGTCGCAAAGAAATGACATTTGGCGACCAAATATTAATTAGTCGCGAATGATGTTTATTTTTGGCGACCAAATATTATTGGTCGCAGAAGGTTATATTTTGGCGACCAAAAAATGAGTTGGTCGCAGAAAGTGGTATACTTTTGCCGACCAACTACAAATTTGGTCGCGGAAGGTCACATATTTTTTGGCGACCAAAAATTTGGTCACCAAAAACTTATTTTTAGCAACCAAAAAAAATTAGTCGCCAAATTTATACTTTTAGCGACTAATATTTTAGTCGCCGTTGATTGAGATTTGGCGACTAAAAATATTAGTCGGCGAAGGTACCTTTTCTGCGACTAATATGATCTTTTGGTCGCCAAAAGTTTGGGAGGCAAATTTGATTTTTATAGAGGCGATAATTGAATTTTTTTTGCGGCAAACAAAATTGGTCGCCATTTTAAAACGAGGTCGTTTTGTTCCACGCATTCACCTTCACATGCTCTCTCTCTCTCTCTCTCTCTCTCATTTCCTTTTGTTTGCATCGCTCTCCTACTACTGATTACCCCAACCCACTCCATCCACCAGCTCCAGCTATGAAAAAGCATATACATACACTTTCAAAACCCATATCATAAATTTCTAGGGTTTGAATTTTCAAATGCAAATCCATTCTTCTTCGTAGATCAGAGAGAGAGAGAGTGTGTGTGTGTGATAAATTGAAATTGATAATGCCAAGGCAGAATCAGGTTGTGGAGGGTTTGATTCCCGGATCCTGCAAGATCCGAAAGGGGGGTTGCTCTTCGTCTTCGTCTTTGTCCTTTGTGTTGCAGAATTACCGATTCAAGCGGGCCATTTTGGTGGGTAAGCCTCGGGGATCCATATCGAGCACTCCGGTTCTGTCTTGGAGGACGACGGCGGCGGCTTTGGATTCTCCCAAGTACGCGCCATCGCAGAGTGGTGGTGGGAGGTCAAGGCCGGTGTCTGCGAGGAACTTGGCGGCGACGCTGTGGGAGATGAATGAGGTTCCGTTGACTAGGCCGGTGTCTGCCAAGCCCTCAATGCCCAAGGTGTGGGAAACAGAGTTTTGATGTTTCAGGGGGTGTAGCCATTCAATAAATCTAGGTTCATTTATGTTTTTTGTTTCCTTTTTATGATTTTCTTTTGCCAAGTAAAATAACACCTTTGCTTTGTTTTGCAGGCATACGATATGCGTAATGCTGGTGCTGTTATTCATAGTCATGGAATGGAATCTTGTCTTGTGACAATGATAAATCCTTTAGCAAAGGAGTTTCGAGTAAATTTTTGAACTTTAGCTCTTGTACTTGAGTATAAACAATTCCAATAACTTTTCCACAATCTATTTTTTCATATGTAATCCCCCATCTAACTTGATTATTGCTCTTAATCAAGGAATCCAGGTTCTAGAGTAGAAATGTCAACCCCTGTAGGGGATTCCTGCACCTAAGATGGGATTTATGTGCCACTAAAAAAAGAAAAAAATTCAATTTGTACCACTCCTGGGAACATTTCTCCCCAAAAATTTAGAGCATCTACAAGAGTTTTATGGAAAATAGAAAAGAAATTTCTCCCTGTAATATATATTAATTTTTGGGTTTTAGAAATGGGCATCTTTTTTCATTGCAAGAGAGTTATTCTGATAACTGTGGTTGGGGAATTATCTCATTACCAAATAATAATCGAGGCTATTTTGACAACAGCCAGCGTTAACAGATGGTTCCATCAACTTGTTGAAAATTGACTTTTGCTTGGTCTTGATTGGGTCTTCCATCTCATTATTGTGCATTTTTTGTTTGATTACAGATTACTCATATGGAAATGATAAAAGGAATTCAATGGCATGGTTATTATGATGAGCTTGTTGTCCCAATAATAGAAAACACCGCTCATGAGTGGGAGCTAACAAATTCTCTTGCTGAAGCTGTATGTTCTGTTTATTCATTTAACTTAGCAAATGCATTACTTTTTGAGTTGAAATGCGGATTTTGCATGATGTTGAGTAAAGAAAAGAAAAGAAAAGAAAAAATATCTATATGGGTTTCAATTTGATTGATGGACTTAGATCTGAACAAGAATGACATGTGATTGCATGGGTTTGTAACTTTATATCTCAGAATACTATCAGCTTCTTTAAAAAGCTCGCTTTGCTTACTTAGCTTTGTTGAATTTTTGATATATGTGCAGACTAGAAACTATGAACAATAACAAACGATTGTGTAAATGTGCATGTATCTGACAATTATATCAGCTTCTTTTCAAGTGTTGGTTTGTTTACATAATTTTTAAGAATTTTATTGCTTTGGTAGTTTATTGCGAAATATTAAACAATTCTACATATTGAAAATTGAAGTGCAAACAATTGATAATAAGAATCATTTTTTAGAATTGTTTAACATAGGCGTTGGCCATATGCATATAAGCCTCTTGGGCACCCTCCCTTTGCAAGCCGATTTTCAAGGGTGAGTTCTACCCAAGGGGTACGCATCATTTGGTATCAGGGCCAGCCACCACGTCAAGTATGGGATCGGACGCACCTATGCCAGTGTGGGATCGAATGGGTGCGGCTTTCCGGTTCAAACCGTGGAGGGGGCGACCTATAGGCTGGATTAAGACACCTAAAAAGGTGTCGAATGCTGATAGTTGAGTGAAGCTACCAGAAGGGAAAAGGCTACCACTAGGTTAGTATTGATAGAGTGGGCTGCCGTGGACGTTGACTGTGGAGTGTTGTGGTATGCTACGATCCCATATCGGCAAGGGCTGCAAAATGAGCCGAGCTGAGCTGAGCCAAGCTTTAGTATGTTTGGGCTTGTTTATTAAGATTTTAACGAGTTTGAGCATGAGTTTAATAAAAACTTAACGTACCGAGCTCAAGCCGAGTTGGCTTAGGCTTGACTCGAGCTCGAGCCTGTTCACGAGCCTTAACGAGCCAAAAAATTTATAAATTCATACTTGCGTATGAGACTAAAGTTACAATTAAAACTTTAATTATACAATTATATATACAATATATATAAATATACTAAAAAAGTCAATATTTTACCAAAATAATAATATATACTGCCACTATTATATAAATGTACTATTTATAATTAACTATTATTTACATTTATATTTTTTCAAGGGTGAGTTCTACCCAAGGGGTACGCATCATTTGGTATCAGGGCCAGCCACCACGTCAAGTATGGGATCGGACGCACCTATGTGAGTGTGGGATCGAATGGGTGCGGCTTTGCGGTTCAAACCGTGGAGGGGGCGACCTATAGGCTGGATTAAGACACCTAAAAAGGTGTCGAATGCTGATAGTTGAGTGAAGCTACCAGAAGGGAAAAGGCTACCACTAGGTTAGTATTGATAGAGTGGGCTGCCGTGGACGTTGACTGTGGAGTGTTGTGGTATGCTACGATCCCATATCGGCAAGGGCTGCAAAATGAGCCGAGCTGAGCCGAGCCGAGCTTTAGTATGTTTGGGTTTGTTTATTAAGATTTTAATGAGTTTGACCTTGAGCTTAATAAAAACTTAACGTACCGAGCTCAAGCCGAGTTGGCTTAGGCTTGACTCGAGCTCGAGCCTGTTCACGAGCCTTAACGAGCCAAAAAAATTTATAAATTCATACTTGCGTATGAGATTAAAGTTACAATTAAAACTTTGATTATACAATTATATATACAATATATATAAATATACTAAAAAAGTCAATATTTTACCAAAATAATAATATATACTGCCACTATTATATAAATGTACTATTTATAATTAACTATTATTTACATTTATATTTTTTCAAGGGTGAGTTCTACCCAAGGGGTTTGTATCAAACTATTGCTTCTATGATCCCTTTATGTTATGCTTTTAATGCATGTTGCCAATTCTTGTTGTTTCCTTCTTACCAAAACTGTTCTGTTGCAGTGAAGAAACTTCAAAATGTCATGATTGCTCTTTCCTGTGTTCATTTGCTAGTGTCCAGAAAACATTGTATGTTTTATGCGGTGAGATCTTTTGGTTGTTTTCTAGTTGTATATGTATGCGAGTATTCGCTAGACTTCCTTTTTAATTTTGAAGCACAGAATTGTACTCAAAACTAAGAGGTGAAAAAATGACGCCAAACATGAACCTCTGGACCATTAAAATGATGTAGAGAATTTCTGATTCTATGTTGTTGTTCTGAGTGAATATTGCTTCAGACTGATTGAGCTTTTCCCATTGTGGTATAGATTGAAGCTTATCCAAAAACAACAGCTGTGCTGGTTCGGAACCATGGCATATATATATGGGGGGATTCTTGGATCAGTGCTAAAACCCAGGTTTGTTTTATCTAGGGGAAGATATGAACAATATTGATCAGTTGCAAAGAACTTCATTTCAGTTCCTATATTTTCTTGAATATCATTTAAATACTGGCTTTTAATCACATTTTTTATACTGATCAAATGATTTAGTGTTCTTAAAATATTTCTCTTCTTGTAACCTTAAAAAATATAATATGGTCTCAAACAACAACACCGCCTTCTTTCTATGTTTCCCCCCTTCTTTACATCCCTTTTTCCCGCCATGGATTGAAAAGTGTTAGCAAGCAGAAAATTTAGGTCCCTACAATATTATCATTATATTTATAGGCTGATTTACTGTGGGTTTAATTTGGTATTGATGACTTTTGCATTTGCAAGTTCTGATGAAGTTAACTCGCATTCCATTCTGAAATCACAACATGTATACAACTTGTAGATGCAAGAATTAGGAAAAGAATGCAGATAGGAGCATTCATTTGAATGGGATGTTCCCAAATTTTGAAAAATTAATTGTATACGTATTTTGATAAGTAATAAGAAAATATTGTATTGCAAAAATGAAAAAACCCCAAAAGGGGCACACCCTTTGTACAAAAACTAACAGGGATTAAAAAAAAAAAAATGACACAAAAATTGAGCTCAACTAAAAATACTATGGGAAGAAAAGAGAACTCACAAAAAATAATTATGCAGAAGACTCATCTCAAGTTTTTGTATCTGTAACTCAGATTCTTCATAAGTGTGTCTATTTTTTCCCTCCACAATATAACACAAAATGGAGCAACCACGAAGGCTTTCTTCTTTCTCTTCCATTGAAAACTGTTTCCCCAACACTCCAACAAATCCCACACTGAACTCAAAATTTATTGGGACTGTATTTGTATAATTTAGATAACATGGAACTGATGTGTGCATACTTGTACAATTTTTTCCCCTTACATTATATTTTAAAACCAAATCTCCATGAATTGACTTGTTTGTCCTTCTATAAGGAATGCTCTTCTGTCATGAAGATGAAGGCACTTGTCATGGCTTTAAAGTTTATTTGATATGCTTTATCTCCAATTGACAACTTAGTCTTCCAGGCTGAATGTTACCACTATCTCTTTGATGCTGCTATTAAACTTCATCAATTGGGCCTGGACTGGTCTACCCCTAATCATGGTCCCATTTCCAGAGGAGTTTTAGGTGGTCACCAGAATGTAGCCATGTCTGTGAAGGCAGGGTCTCTTGTATCAAATAATGGCATTGAGCCATCACGAGTAAGTTGTTGATGATTGTCAATATTCTCCCTTTCGCTAGAAAGGTCATGACTGATGACATTCTTCAATTCTGGTTCAAATTCTAACTTGTATTGTTTATTTACTAAATTTTACTGCAGCGTTGCATTGTTCTGGACATTGAAGGGACCACTACTCCCATATCATTTGTTACTGATGTTCTCTTTCCATATGCCTGTGACAATGTGGGGAGGCATTTAGATGCAACATATGACACTGCAGAGACCAAAGATGACATTAACTTGTTACGATCTCAAGTGAGGCCTTTTCCTTTCCTTTTTCTTTCGAGGGAGGTTGGGGTGTCGAGGATGCTCCAAATAAAAAGAGTTAACTTTCATTTATCTTCAAAATGTGCAAAAGAATATTCTGAGAAATTTTTCACGCAACCTTTTGGTGAATTGTTGTTTTTCTTCATTATTTTACTGTAAATGATAATTGGACATTTAGAATTCAGACATGAAAGTCGGATATTTAGTAGTATATTCACCAACATGCACATATCTTTGTTCCTGTGGATTTTGGGAAGCTATCATGAGCATTATTTTATTTTATTTTATTGGGTTGGAGTCTGAAAGTCATCTCTCATACATTTCACTGGAGTCCAAATTTACTTATTCAAACAAAGATAATGAAGTGTATGAAATTCTATGTTCTTGCAGGTACAGGATGACTTAGAACGAGGAATTGCTGGTGCTGTGCCCATCCCCTCTGATGATGCAGGGAAACAGAAGGTCATTACAGCTTTGATTGCCAACGTGGAAGCAATGATAAAAGCTGACAGGAAGATTACTTCCTTAAAACAATTGCAGGTAAGCTTACGTGGCAATCAAAAACCACATCAGTCTTCTACAAAAACCCTTAGTGAACTTTTTGGGTGTGTGACAATCAATTGTGTGGCACGTGACCCACCACATGCCGTTTTACCTCATCTGTGCCATACGCGCATACGAATGTACAACAAACATTACACAATAACTAATGGCTATTGCGTCCTTTGACAACAGATTGGACTAAACGGAGCACTAGAAAACATATGGGACTAATTGGATTATAAGATCAACATTTAGGGTATATTGGTAAATTTCCATACTCAAAATATTTATTGTATTATTCTGAACTAACAGCGAGTCTACACCCAAAGAGCTGAAACACTTACATATACTCATTGTATTTATTGTATTAACATACAATAAATATTTACTGTATTTATTCTATTAACATTTTATTGTATTTATTGTATTTATTTTATTAACATACACTCACATATATGTCTCTAAAGAAATCCTTCACCAACCCCAAAAAATTTGAGAAACAAAAAATTAAATTAAATTAAAACATATCACAAAGGGAATCAAAGTGGAGGGAAGAAGAGGTACTAATTAGGTAAACTTGGGTCCATTAAATTTTATTTAGGACGTTGATTTTAAAATCTGTATAATTTATTTTACAAAAAGGTTTTGCTAATTATCGTTCGAAGGCTGTTGGTTAAGAATATAATATGAATTTATGACAAATTTATGACAAGATGTGCCTATTATTTCTCCTTTTATATTTTTATTTCTCCTTTTATATATTTCAATACATATTTTATCAATTAATCTTAACCAACCCTCGTTGGCTAGCATTCACCTTTATAAAAACAATAATGCTTGAGACCACTAAAAGTGGTGCTCTAAAAGCACCACTAGTGATGTGGCAGTGGACGGGACCCACTGCTTGTGTCTTGTGTTTTTTTTTTTTTTTTTTTTTTGGTTAAAGTGCTTGCCAATTCATTAGTGGTGCTTTAGAGCACCACTTTTAGTGGGATGTATCATTACCCTTATAAAAATACCAAAAACTCCTCCAAACTGGGGGGAGACTGCACCTTTTTGATTCTTTACTTCCTTGCCATTAACCGCAAAGGAATATTTGTACATTTGATGGGCTAATGACCAATGTTTCTGTGATTTTTTTAAAAATGTAATCTGATTTCATTTACACCAATAATATTCTTCTCTTTGTAAGAGTAATAATAATATAGAATACACATAATAAATACATATAACTGTTTGGGAATGGCTTTGTAGTTTGAAAAGGTTGCTCCACTAGTTGAGCAACTCCAACAATACTATGTATTTTGCTTAGTAGAAATACATTAAAAAAAAGAAAGAAAAGAAATACGTTCTGTATTTTGTCCAATCATTTTATTCTAACAAGAATTTACTTAACCATATAAACTAAATAGGCTAATTTTTAAAAGAAAATTGCTAGTACCAAATTTCGTTCAAAAAAAGAAAAATTGAGTACCAAATATTGAATATATAAGTATTAATGCATTAGTAAGATGTATGTAAGGTTGGATCAAAATAAACAAATATATTAGTGACACATTAAATAATATTCAAGTTTTGGCATCCGAATTTAGATACTATATATATATAGCGTTATTATTTTGATATGAAATCCATTGGATTTGTCTGATTCATGTATGTGATGTGAGAGACGAAATTGCACTAAATTGGTTTGAGACAAACAATTCTTCTTTAGGTGATATAGAATTTGACTATGATAAATAATGTCAGGTGCAAGGAGAGAAAGTTTAAGGCTGAAAACGAAAAATATAGTGATACTTAAGGAGAGCAAAATATAATTTATTCCAAATTAGATAATAATAATAATGAAATATTATGTCACTCACATAACATTTTTTGTATAAAATTGAACGAAAGTTAACTATTGAATTGAATTGGAAAAAACAAAACCAAAAAAAATAAAAATTAAGAGGGTAAACTATAATTTGCCCACACAAAAATTGAGCAATGACATTAAAAATAATAATAATAATAAAATTAATTACACTTTTTACTCATGTCATTTGACTCTAATTTTATTTTAGTTCCTATAGTTTTAATTTGAACATTTTGTTTACACACTTTAAGTTTAGTTTCTATTTACTCACTCCATTTAAATTGGAGGTTAAAATTAATAATTTTGAGACACTTGTCAATTTTTTAAAATGTATACGTAGACAAAATTAACAAAAATTTAAATGAAATGAGCAAATTGAAACTATACTTAAAAGTGGCAGGATCAAATTGTTCAAATTGAAAATTTATTGACTATATTGAAATTTGGATTAAAATATAGGAATGAAAAGTGTAATTAACTATTTAAAAAATATATTAAAAAAATATTTTTTTAAAAAAAAGTGTTCCTTGTCGAGTGTAGATTGTATCTCGTTGTTAGGAAAAATTTGGTTTGAAGTAAATCGGTAGAGAAAAGTCGACAAGATAAAATCACTTTCAGAAACAACAAACAAATCAAGCGATGTAGTTGATGTCTTATACTTTGACAGATTTAAGGATTTCTTTGGAGATTATCGATAGAGAGAAACAAACAAAAATACATAATAATCATAATATTTTTTTACTAATTACAAGAATTAGAAAACAATTATAGAACTATTAAATTAAAACTACTCTTGAAGATAAGTCATACCCAAACTCACCAGCTAGGTTAATTTCCTTCCTCTTGTCATATGCAAAACATTTGGAATCTTATGAGCTGGATATGACTTATTTTTTTAATTTTTTTCCAAAAAAAAAAGTGTAAAAAAATAAAGAGATAATGTGACATAAATTAGACAATAAGTAATTTATTTGGCTTATTGCCAAGCTAGCTTTATGTCTGCAATGATTCATAGCACTAATAAAAAAAAAAAATTTATTTTAGAGAGGAGGAAACCATTATGTGATTCACATTAATATCACATACTTTACTTTCTTATTCATCTAAGTATGATAATAAAAAAATTATTTGTCCATTTTATCTATTTTAATTTTAGAGATGAGGAAACCATTTATATCACATACTTTACTTTCTTATTCATCTAAGTATGATAATAAAGGATAAAGATACCACAAACATTTATTTTATTTTCATAAATCTGTCACAAATATATCAAATATTTGTCTGGAATCCAAATATATCAAAGACAGACATGAAAATAGATAACTAGATATATGTAGTTATCTATGAGTAACGAATACATTGAAAAAGCATAAAAGGGAAGAAACGATTTTTATTCAGATTGTTTCATTTCTCACAACCTTAACCAATCATGGGGAATAGTAGAAAGATCATTGTCATTTATTTCAGTGTTTTCCACTTGCTCTTCTTCTTGTGCATGCTTGGAAGAACCCTCCGAATTCAATTCATCAACTCTCTGAGCCACGTTTTTCTTAAGCTCCACCACAGACTTTTTTAATTGTTCAAGCTGTTGCAAGTCGGCCTGATTAACATATGCATCAAACCTACAACTTAGCAAGCCATAGTTGTTGTTACTCATGTTTTGAACAATTTTCTCTTTCTTTTTCTCGGCTTTCAATCGCTTTCTCAGCTCATGGAATTGTTGGTTGAGTTGGTGCACTGTGGCATCATCGTGCTGCGTGGCATGGCTGGAGACGCCTTCACTTGGTTGCGCATTTTGGTTCAGAAAGCGGTCTACAACCGAGTCAACATTAGGTTTTCCAAAAGAGAAAGCCTTGCCTCCAATGGAGAAGAGGACAATGGCCATGTCTACGCCAAATAAGGTACAGAGTTCGCTTGCTTTGTTGAAAATCCCATTTCTACGCTTTGAGAAGGTAATCCTTCTTGCGTTTTCATTGGCAATCATCTTCATTTCAATCTTCTTTCGGCCTTGGGTTTGCTTCCTCTCCATGATTAAAGAAAAAGCGAGAAAATCTTTTTTGAAAAAACTTCTCAGTAAGAAGCATGAGATATATGCAAGTATACGCAAAGGGGGTTTATATACACTTAATGGAGATACCAAAATTAATATAGCAAGATTTTCAGTTTTTTTGTCCACTCCAAAATTAATATTGCAATATTTTCAGTTTTTGTGTCCTTGCTGGAGATAGTGATGACTTGGGAGATTTTGGTAGGAAGTTATGACCAAATCATAATCTTAATGCCAAAAGAAGCACTATAAATTTTTACTTTCATTGCAAATTTTGTTGTTTAAGGGCTATATATTGTCATTGTTGAACATGATTTTATATTATAAAAACCGTGATTAATAGAAGGTAGAATTCTCTGTACAAATCTTCTCCTATCTCTTTATTCTAAATTATTTCTCTATCACATAATGAGTATCTCTGATTTAATCATGTGGTGATCTTCCCATATCTCCTTGTTCCAAGTCATTTCTCTATCACATGATGGACATCTCTAATATAATCGTGTGGTGGAGAGGAACTTCACAAAAAAAAAAATGGGAGATTCAAATATAGAGAAACACAGTTACACTTGGTGGGATTTCTCATTTGTTTAGAAATGAAGTACTCAAGCCATATTTAATCTGATGATATCTTGGATTGGAGATATTGTCCTTGGTGCAATTGAGACAATTTAATGTGTGAGTTGTGTAAAGTATATTTTGTTTTTTATTTTGTAACAGTCCCATTAATGTTTTGATGATAGAATAATGTGATTAAATATCAAGTATATTGGTTGGTTTTGTGACATAATTGCTTGCCTGAAGCTTATCATTCATACAATAAAGTTTACGAATTAATCTTTACACTTTTGATTTTGTTACAGTCCCATTAATGTTTTGATGATAGAATAATGTGATTAAATGTCAAGTATATTGGTTGGTTTTGTGACATAATTGCTCGCCTGAAGCTTATCATTCATAAAATAAAGTTTACGAATTAATCTTTACACTTTTAATTGTAATTTTTTTTTTTTTTTAGTAAAAAATTTTATGGTAATCAAATTTGAGTACCAAATTTCGTTCAAAAAAAGAAAAATTGAGTACCAAATATATTGAATATATAAGTATTAATGCATTAGTAAGATGTATGTAAGGTTGGATCAAAATAAACAAATATATTAGTGACACATTAAATAATATTCAAGTTTTGGCATCCGAATTTAGATACTATATATATATAGCGTTATTATTTTGATATGAAATCCATTGGATTTGTCTGATTCATGTATGTGATGTGAGAGACGAAATTGCACTAAATTGGTTTGAGACAAACAATTCTTCTTTAGG